TCAAATAAATAAATAAAATCTTTAAAAAAAAAAAAATTACAATCACTATTCAGGTTAGTCCCACGAATTACCCTGCAGTCATCTATCTGAGAACGCACTAAGTCATGTGAATTGTATGCATGATCTTTTTTGACAATGGCCTCAGGGATCAAGCACTTACATAAAAACATATAGTAATCCTATAAAACTCAGCCACCTATACATTTACTCATACTCACCACCGGACTATAAAAAGGAAGAAGGTTTTGAAATGCACAGGAACACTTCTGTTTGCTTAACTGGCCCTCCTTTAGTCCCTGAGCCACAGTCTCCTAAAACAAGCAAACAAAGATTTAATGTTAAAAAAGGAAAATTTCTAAAGCTTTATTTGATTAATAAATATCAGTATATGTAATTCCCTACTGATCCTACGGGCATTTCAAATGTCTCAAACTGAGCCCAGCATCATTCCTCCTTATGTAACCCAAACACTGTTCCACTGTAGTCCTTATTTTAGGAAAGGGCATTGCCACCTACCCACCCGGCTACACAAAGCAGTAACCTAAGATACAGCCAAGACTTTTCCTCCTCCTCTGCTGCTGCTGACTCCTCCTCCTAAGAGTTTAATTCTACTCTACTAAATCTCTCTCATCCCTCCTCTTCTTTCCATCCACCCTTCCACTATTTGGGGTCTTATTATTTTTCAGATTACTCTTGAAGATTACCACCCACAAGAGCCTGTTGGTTGGTCTGCAGGACTCCAACCTCAACTCTCTCTAATCCTCTCTCTTGCTTCTGGAGTAATCTTTCTGAACACACCATCTCACTTGATCCTTAAAACAAAAACCTTCAGTAGCTCCTCAGTCCTCAAAATTAAATTCATATTCCATTAGGTATGGCACATAAGAATTTTCACGACATATCCCTGGTTTATTCTCAGTCCACCCTTCTTCTATATTCCTGTCACTTAAAAATAAACATCCCTCCAAAAACAAAAAGCACGCATAAAGATGACAGCAAACAATGGGAAAAACACCTGCAATGAATACGCAAAAGATAGTATTATTGCCCAAAGAGTTCATATAAATAATCAAAATAGATAAATTTATAAAGTAGGAAACACAAATGATATACAAATATATGGGGGGGGGGTGCCCGGGTGGCTCAGTCAGTTAAGCGTCTGCCTTCGGCCCAGGTCATGATCCCAGGGTCCTGGGATTGAGCCCTATGTCGGGCTTCCTGCTCAGCAAGGAGTCTGCTTCTCCTTCTCCCTCTGCCCTTCCCCCCACCCAATCCCCGACTCATGCTCTCTCTCTCTCCAATAAATGAAATCTAAAAGGAAAAAAACCCACAAATATATGGAAAGATGTTCAATCTTACTAATAAAAAATACAAATCAAAATAAGGCACAATTTCTCACCTACTGAACTTTGATATAAAAATTATAATATCTGATAATAAGAGTCCTATAAAGCCAACATTTTCACATAAACCCATTTGGGCAATATGCAGCCATTAAGCCTCAGCCATCTTCACTTGTACAATGCCAAGCCCAGTAAGCTAACTTCCAAAAATCTATGCTCAAGTAATAACCCCTATCTAGAAAAGCAGAACAAATGACCAAAAAAAAAATTACCAGAATAACAGAAACTTCTATTAAGAAATATTCTTCTTAAAAAAATGCAATGAATGTACATATATTCTTCATAGTTATATTTATATTTTTTTCTAAAATACATGGATAGAAAGTATACTCAAAGAAAGAATATGCTAAAAATCCAAGCATATTCAGGAAGAATATCCCCTAAAACAAGTCTGTAGTAAATTATGAAAACTGATTTTTTTGACAAATTGGGTATTAAACTGGTTCTCACTGAAATGTCTTTCAGTAAATTTAGAGTCTGGAAAAGGGCTCATAACATAATGTTTAGTGAAAAAAGCAGTCTATAAAATTCTATATACTGGATTTTAAGTATGTGAAAAACATATATAAACACACCAAACCGTATCAGTTGCTGCATTAAGATTATAAAGTTACAGTGATAATTTTTTCTTTCTCTTATTTCCCCAAATTTATATAATATAGTTATTTTATTTATTTATTTGTTTGTTTTAAAGATTCTATTTATTTATTTGAGAAAGAGAGAGCGAGTAAGAAAGCACAAGCAGGGGGAGCGGCATAGGGAGAAGAGGCAGACTGCCGCTGACCAGGGAGCCCGAAGTGGGGCTTGATCACAGGACCTCAGGATCATGACCTGAGCCGAAGGCAGACACTAAACTGACTGAGCCACCGAGGTGCCCCTTTATGCTACTTTTTCAGTGATAATAAAGTTTGGAGCATTAAGCAATCCATACTTTCTTTTGCTGAAGAAACCATCAATACTTCTTTCCTACCTTTGTTAAAACCTGAAAAATATTAGAAAGAAATTCACATGAAATATCCTTTAAGATTTTCAAGTGGAAATCATCTTGGGTTAAGTCAGACTTTTTCGTTTCTTCCATGTTAGAATCTGCCGAGTTCTCTTGTTTCTTCTGACAATGTTCCATGTTTTGTAAGACACGAATCAGACTGTCAATTAGAGGAAGATCTAGTGTACAAACAGATCAAGAAGCACAGAATTAGCCAGTTAAATTTGGTCTCTTCTCCTTTTGTTGACTGATTCATTCATTCAAAAGTACTGAACAACTTACTAGTGGCTAGACAGTTCACTTAGGTAGCAGAGATATGACCACAAACAAGATCGTTGAGGCCTCAGCCTTCAAGAGGTTCACATTTTCATACTCTCAAAAAAACTAATGAATAAAACAGATCATCTCAGCTTTGAGTGAGTTCTATCCATGAAGGAAATTAAAGGGGAATATAATAAAGCAGCCAGCAGGGGAAGCTCTTTGAGGTGAGAACTACAGGAGAAGCATCAATGCAAAGAGCCCAGGAAAACAGTTCAGGGAGCGAGAACAGTAAGTGCAAAAAGTCTCAAAGAGGAAATGGTCTGAGGAACAAAAAGGCCACTGTGTCTCAAGCCAAGTGAAGCAAGGGGGAAGGAGGGCACAAGACAAGTTTAGAGAGCTAGGCAAGAGTCCTATATCATGCAGTGCCTTGGAGGCCACAGTGAGAAAGAATTTGAATTTTAAACTTTATCATCAACATCTTAAACAAAGCTTTTAAATTATATATTTCTTTAAGTTAAGTTCCAAAAACAGTATGATTTCCTAAAAGACTGAATAATCATTTTAACTAGCCTATAATAAAAACTGAACATAAAAAATAAAACTAAAGCTCAGACTCAAAATATATGTTATAGCATGAACATGTTAAAGGGTAGCTCACTTTGATTCAGCCACTGATTCTAACCCTACCGTTTCTGCATCACAATTACAAATCCAGGAAACAAGATTTTCTGTAGCACTGAATCCAGTATATTGATTTTAAACAATCTAACTTTACTTCCAGATTTAGGTCATTTATAGGACATGAAAATGACATTTTTAAAAAATTAAGGAAATAAAAAACTAGGGAAATCATATCCCTTATTTCTCAACTCAATGTCACCTCTTCAAAGCACCCAGTCTGCAGGGCTGCTTTACTATATTCCCCTTGGATTTATTCCCACTCTCTTCCTTCTGTTGTCCCTAACTCTTGACTCTAACACTCAGTTCTTTACTCCACCATGTCCCTGTAGGTCACATCAATCTATACTACACCATTCTCTCTTTCTCACCCCCAGCCCTAACTCTGCAATGCCCTTATTCAAGGCGTAGGGCAGGATGAGTGGGTGAGGGCTATTTAGTGGTTTTCAGTTCAAAGAGCATCTTTACACTTTCTCCCCCAATCATAAAAATCATACATAAAGTTTGAGGGAGTTGAGGGGTGGGAGAGATAAAAAACACCCAGTCACATAACATCAAGAAAGAGCTTTTTCCATGCTGGAGGCCGGGCCGCAGCCCTTCGGAGGAGGAGCAAGATGGCGGAGGAGTAGGAAACCTAAATTTCTTCTGGTCCCAGGAATTCAGCTAGATAGGTATCAAACCATTCTGAACATCTACAAACTCAACAGGAGATCGAAGAAAAGAATAGCAGCAACTCTCTGAACAGAAAAGTGACCACTTTCTGGAAGGTCTCTTCTGATTTGTTTAGTGTATATTTTTCTGGGGTCACTGTTACCCTGTTAGCATTTTGTTCTCTCATTCATCTATTCTCCTCTGGACAAAATGACAAGACGGAAAAA